GAGGAGGTTTTGGATTAGAGTGAACCAATCAACCAAGTCCTCACACGGGTTTGGATTATTTATCTTCCTCCCTTGATTTCCTCCATCTGTGTTGTGAGTCACAGCAGTGGTATGTAGGATTGTTATGGTTCTATCCTTGACTATCCCTCATTCTCTTCTTATGGGGATGTTATTGCCTTTGGATGGTCCTGGCCTGTACCACGGTTGAGGGAGTTGATTCCATGTGATGGACATCCTTGCAACATCAGATGTCAGTTTACTTGGCTGATAGATTAGAGCTGGTCCTTGTGTCATACCCAGGAATCGGTGTGGGTCTTAATCCCTGGTTCTTGGGTTTGAGGTGAAAGCGGTATAATCCTCATCCTAGCCTCATGTGGATGTCAGTACACCATGAGGAGGTTTTGGATGTAGTTGCTTTACTGAGTACAGTCTGCCATGTCCTAGTCTCTCTACAACCAAGGGCACATTCTTGTTACCCACTTTTCTCTTGTGGGATTGAGTTACAATATCTTTCTTTGGTTAGGATCACTTTCCTACCACATTCTCTCCCACTTGGATGTACTCCTCTCATTTTCTGCCCTTATATCTTACACATTCCACATATGGACAAAGAGCATACCTGGCTCAGAAGTGGTGCGGTTCGCCCTCTTCTGATCTTTGAATCTGTATATCTCATTATCAGGGGTATCCTTTGGATGCTTTCAGGGAGGTACTTCTGCTGTTCCCTCGCACCTGTCCTTCTCAATGTGGGATTCTAGCTAATCTTGAGAGACGAGGTAAGTACAGTATCAGAAGTTATAGTTTCCCTACACTGAAAATATATTTCTGATAGGTACTTACCTCCTTACACATTTCCCACCCTTCCTCCCCACTTTTCTCAGGCACTGAAATTTTCTGCCAAACTTCGAAGTGATAGTTCGGTAGAGGAGTGTAGAGGGAATCAGATGCGTCACGTGAGCATGTCATGCTCTTATTGGTGAGAAGGTGACGCATGATGATTTTCATGAGAGACATGTTGGAATCTTGTAATTCAAACAGGGGGAGGAGCAGAAGGTTTGTGGCATGCATAAATAAAAAGTTTGCATACAGAGGACTGAAGAAGTATAGCTAATTCTGTGAGAGAAGGTAAGTACCTATTGGAAATACATTTTCAGTATAAGAAAATTAGTACAGAAATGAAAGACCTTCTCTAAGCCCATTTTATTTCTACAAGCTAAGGAATATTCAATAAGTGATAACCATGTGCATTTACTGTGTCAAAAAATTTATCATAAACATCAAAGTTTTCTCATAAAAAAGTGAAAAAGAAATTTGTAGCCAATTAGTTTCTTAAAAACTTTATCATTTATGATGTAGTTTTGTACAGAAATGCTTCCTGGTCTATAAAAATATTCGTAGGATAGTTGAATATTTTTTAATAATGAGGTAGATTTAAAGAAAAAATAAAGAAATCCATGAAGTACTTTTTTTTCTGAACAACTATTTTTACTATATTTGAAATTTAGTAATTGTCTGCATTTTACAACAAATTTTGGTTGCATTAACATATTATTTCAAAATATCAAATTAATAATTATACATAAAAATTTCAGTTCATGCTTTCAAAACTCTCCTGAAAAAAAAATGTCTTAGATTTAACTTTTGTAATTAAATTAACAGACACGAAATATCAACTAAAGAAAAATAATAATAAAAATACTCCAGCTACCAGAAAAACTTTAACGTGTTTTTGTTAATTGTTCAGAACAAAATATGCATGAGTACAAACTATGTTTAGAAATGTGTTAATATTTGTAATAACGAGAGACTAAATATTATTTTATGTGTTTAGAAAAATACTGAAAACCAACTGGAAAAACAAATGCTATATATGTATATATATTAAACTGTGGACATATTACAAATAGTCCTCACAACCTTACATCATAAGCATATTGGAAATTTAAACTACTTTAAAACTTCCAATAACAAAGCAAATAAACAATGTGACTGTGAAAATACTTGTGCAAATAGATTCTAGTTCATAACCAGAGACACAAAAAACTTAAATAAAACTAATTGCCAGATATTTGCAATTTTCTTACAGGAATACTTTCAAAATTTAAAAGAAAAAAATTGTGTCAGTCCTTTCATTCCTCACCTAAGAAAAACCGGGAACTTCATATTTGAATAAGTTGTTAAATTTTATAATTCTATTTATATACCAAATTGTATGCAAAAAAATTGACTTGGTTTTAATGATCTAGGACAGTATAGCAGTGTCTCCTATCCCACAAATGGAAGCAAGGAAAGTTGATGAAGATAATGCTGAGTTAATCCAGATCAAGGCAAGTAGGAATGAGGTAATTTTCACTTTTATTTCATAGACTAAAATATATTCAATAGCGGAAACTCATCTGTATGATGTTTCAGAGTATACTTTTGATTATTCATTGTTTAATTGTTTAGTATAACATTTTGCCTATTGAACAAATTTATGTTATGTAGTTTCAAAGTTTTTTGCTTATTTATGTAGTATTATAAGTTTTCATTTCATACATTTGATTGGCATAATATATCACTATGAATGCATATTTTTGCATATAGCTGGAAAGAAGAATCACGGCATTTATTAGCAGAAAACGGAAAGAGGTTGACGAATGGAATTTACGGGAGTTTTGTAATCATGCTCTTGAAGAAGAATATAACCAATCATGGGGTAATGAATTTTTATTTTAGTTCTAAACCCTAAAAGCAAGTTGAGCAGAGTGTTAGTGGGGACTTAATTTAGCATGTTACACTATTTTAAGTTAGGTCATATGGTTGAAATACTTTCATAGTGTCAATGTTTCTATTTTGTTCCAGAAATAGAACTTCCCATATAAACAATCAAATTATTTATGAAAAGTTGCCTGCAAAGATCATTCTCCAACTTTTTTTGGGCTTTGTTACACATAAAGTTTTTTGTATATGAAGGAACTACATAAGAGCTATTTGCAAAAAATTATCTACATATTATAAACTTCAAGAAAAGATTATTAATATTGTATATGATGCAGTTTTCAATAATGCATTCTGATTGTTATATAACAAGACAAATACTGGACTCTTTCAGTCGTTGGCCACTAGTTTCTTCAAATAAAAATTTTTACGTTGAATTCTGTTCCTGTTCCATTTTTATTTTAAAACCTTCTTAGAGTTTGCTTACACTTAGACTGTTTTTAAAAATTAAAGCTAATACTAGATACATAAAATTTTTTGTGTTAGGTTGATTGGTGTCCTAACTGGGAAAATAGAAGAGACTTTCATTTTGTAATAAAACTTCTTTTTCTTCTCACATGATGGATGATATAAGTAGTCTCTTTGATTTACATTAGTAACTTCAGTGTTCTTCTTTTCCTTTTATTATTTTCAATTAAAACACTGGACATGAGCCAGAAACTGCTGCAGTAATTCTAACAGAAGAATTACTTATGTCAGATCTTCTTTACAGTTTGTCATGCCATTGGCTAGTACCAAAATCAGTGTAGAAAGTGTCTACTCATATTAATAGTTATATAACATGCAAGAAGAAGACCATTTTTTCTAAAAGTGAAGTATGGTCAATAAATAACCCTTTATGATACATATGCAACTTTTCCTGAAGAAAATAGATACACAGTATTATGTACTCTGTCATTAAAGTATTAAACGTGTGACAAAAATTACATTGTATAAGAAGGCTTTATTGTCATTCCAAGTCTTAATAGAAGAAATATTTACTTTTGGCCCAATTAAAAGTTTATTACAGAATTAAAAAAAAAACAGACAGGTGTACATTTCACAAAAATCTTCATTTATCCAAAACCATAGATTCACTAGTAAAGGCATCACCAGGTACTGGCAAAACCATGATCATGAATAAATGAAGTTTTTGTGAAACGTACAATTGTCTTTGTTTTTTATTCAATTATGTAATTATGGAGTTTCACCAAGTACCGACAGTTTCAAGTATCAATTATATAAAAGTTTATTATTTGAAATTATCTTCAGCCTTTGTGATGCTTTGTACAATTGTGATATGCATATATTACAGCTTTAGTTCTTATATAACACAGAATGTGAATAAGACTTTATTTAGATATAATGAGATAAAATTCCAGTACAGAGAGTGGTATTTAGATGTTCTGAGTGAACAGGATGTGCCCAACCTTGAATTGTACTTATTGTATTGTTAAGCTTGTTGTGCACACCATAAAATTAGTCCAAGAACACGTTTATCATCTCTTGTGACATTTGCATTGATAAATGTATTGAGCTGACCTTAAGTAACTTGGTTGTGTGGGTGGATAGGAATGCTGAAAAATTCTAAACTCTTGTTTTTGTATAAATGGAACTGATCTGATGATGTGTATGACCAAGTGCACAGACTATATCAGTTGTACTTGTTTCTTTTCAGCAAATAAAATGTGATATAAAATTTGAATTAATTTTGTAAGTAAATGTAATATTTTTGTATAAAGATTTGAGTCAATCCTTCATATGTAGTACAAAATATCTGGGTTTAATTTTTTTGTGTGGAAAAAAACAACTAAAAATACTATAAAACTTGTATTAATGTACTGAGTACTTCAAGAGAAAAAAATGTAAGCCCAAAAACATGGAGATAAATGTGTCAAATTATCTATAGTAGAAATTGTGTATTTCAAAAATATTGTACTTGGACCTAACATTTTTTCCTGTGCAGATAAACATGATTTTTGGACATTTCTGCAGCCTATCAAACAGGAGGATATTGTATCTTTGAAAGAAGTTATTGTTTCCTATTAGTTCTTAAGAAAACTGATTATTTACTTGAATTCACTAACTCGGGTCAAAATAAGAAAGCCTTATTCCAAAATCCAGGAAATAAGGCAATTCAAATACGTATATGAAATGAATAATTCCAATTGAAGAGGGAGAATATTATGGAATAAATTAATTTCAGTAATGTAATATTACCATATTATCAGTTTGTTTTGGGAAATCGAAGAAAGATTTATGTGATTGAATACCTGCAGATATTGTAACATAACGAGTGCAGCTGTGCATATTTACGTTTGTATGATAATTGATTTCTAGGCACTTTTATATATGGTTGATAAATAATAGTGATTTCTCACTTTTATTGCTTGTTATTTCAATCATTTCTCTAGAATTTGCAAGTTAGAATCTACATTGAGAATGATTACTAGAAATACTAGATAAGTATGATTTCAAAATATTTTGGTAAGAATAACCCATGCTATATAATTTATCAAATGTGTCTTTTGATACTTTGCAGAAGATGGAGAAAGAACTACATGTGCTAGAGTTGATGCACCATTGATACCAAGGTCTGTGGGTAAAAATCGTGTTAAAGGTAAATAATTTCTTTTTAATGTGTTTCTTGTGATGGTCAATTACGAATTTTTAACGAGAGTTTTGTATTATTCTTTGATTTTTAAAGTTAATATATATTTTTTTAAATCCATTTATTGTTATGTCTGTATGTTGGCTTTGTAATATCATGACTTTGTGTTCTTTTTCACATAAGATGTGATTTAAGTCTACACTTCTCTATAATAATGCAAAAATACAATCAATATATTGTAAGTTATCAGTTACATACCTATCAAAAGAAATATACAAAAAATATTTGTTTGTCTTTTTTTTTTTGGAAGGATCTTATAAAGAGGAGAATTTTGATTAATTAATTTCTTATATATGTTTTATAAATGGTAAGTTATTTCAGGATAAATTATAACTTGTGATTTTGATTGTCAATATACATTTTGAACTAAAAAAGTTTGTTTTAGTTTCTAGGGTAGATAATAAGTGGGGACCCCAGACCCAACTACATCATCAAGTTATTGATAATAAAAGACAAGAGAGTTCTGAACATATAGTGTACCAAGACTCTGATATGCCTGAGAGTGTGGAAGAAAGGCTAAGAAATTTAGAATCCCATTTGAAGCTCAAAGCTGGTGGGTAAAGTAGATTGTTATTAAAACAAGATCCATTTTTTTTTTATAAATGTCATAAAACTTGAACTTTTCTGAGTAAAACGAAAATAGAAATTCATTCATTCAAAACAACAAACCTGAACTAAGTGATATTACATTAACTCAAAAGTTATATCTCTAATTTTATTCTACAAAACAAAGATTTGTGTTTAAAGAGAGCAGCCAATAAAGAATTTAGGCATATATTGAATACTTGACACTGTTTTCTAACTTGTATTGCATTATTCAGTGTTTGACCATACCAGTAAGAATATCAGTTATAATTTTGTTTATCCAGTATATTACTTATCCCTGTGTTTAACCAGTAGGTAAGGAGAAAATGTAAGATTAAAAAACATTATACAAGGCATTCATTCCATTCTCAAAAGAAATGCACATATCCAAAACTTGTCCCCCAATCGTAGGTATTTGGACTTACAATGCTTAAACACAGGGTTTCATTCCATGCAGTGCACAGAGTGCCGATAGCCTATTGTGTAATTTTGTGCTAAAACAAACAGACATTCCAAACTGCTGAATTCTACCATACAATAAAGACATTTTTCTTAACAGTGATCACTGTATAGCTTCCTGCACAATAATTTTTCTGTATTTTTACTGTGAGTTACTGGTTTATAGCATTAAGTGCACTTCTGTATTTTTACTGTAAGTTACTGGTTTATAGCATTAAGTGCACTTAGTGACTTACAGTTTTCTGTAAACTGTAATAGACAATGGCTCACCTACACAAAAAACCACGTTTCTTGAAAGTGATTACTAAGTTCAAATTTACAGTGCTAAATGGATGATCACAATTATAAAATAGTTTTTTAAATAATAAAACTTACAAGCTACAGATATAAATTAACTAAGAAAATAAACATGAGCTTTGACATCTCAAAAGTGCACTTAATGCTATAAACCAGTAACTTACAGTAAAAATACAGGTTTGAGATTTTTTTGACAGTAAGTATTTTTTTTTAAAACTTTTGAAAAATCTGATTTTTAATAGGTGAGACTGTGTTTATCAATCCTCAAATTACCAAAATTTTTTACACTGTTCATTACCTGTGGTATCAACATGGATCCCATGCATTTATACATGAGAAGTTACACTATTTATAGTTTCTAACTACTTTTATTTTTGAAAATCGTTGCTTAGCTTAGTAATATTCGACATTGTAAAGCTTTAACATTTGATTTAAAAATCAGAAAATGTCTTCAGCCATAACAAATATCTTGGAACACTCTACACACCAAATGTTGGCACTTTTAACATCTCTACCAGCAGTTTGTGTCTATTTTTCGTGAGTTGAACTCGTAATGACCACACTTTCTTGTAATGGCAGTCTCTGATTTTGCAGGTGTTGTTAAAATCTGTTGGACTTTGTCACCATCTTTTTTGTTTTGATGTATTTTTCTTTTTCCTCTCTCTCCTACAGAAAAAGGTCTCTTATGTGACTTTCCTTTATTCTTATTGGAGTCAAGATGAATTTGCCAAAAAAAAGAAAGCATCAAGGCAGCCTACATCTAATATGATGTAGAAAATAACAACTGGCTATGTGTTTGCCTCCTTCTAACTGAGTAGATCTTTAACGTTTGACCAACAGTGTTCACTCCATATGTCAATTTATGGCTGGCCATACATAATACTTGGCAGCATAATTACTGTTCCATTCTTCAGACAATTTGAAATTTGTGTAGCAAAGCAATGAAAGTAAATTTATTTGAATTCTGCACATCCTTTTATGGAGACCACTTCAAATGGCATTTCAGCTCTGTTAGTGTATTTTACCAAGTGTTGTTAGCAACTATAGCTAAAGGCCCAGTAATTTCTTTGCCAACTTCAAACTTGTAAAGACATTATCACAAATTATATTGGATCGTGTCCAATATGACACCCTCTCATTAGTTTTGTTCTCTTTATTATCCTTTTATTCCTATTTACATTTGCATTTTATAAACAAAGGATATGTATGACTGTCATGGCAAGCCCATATTTTGATGCCATATTTTCAAGGTTTGGTTGAAACATAATGTTTGAGAGGGCATCTTTCATGAAATTTTACTAGTTGTTCATCAATTGTCATATTTTTTAATGGTCTATAACTAAGTTAACAGTATTTGCACACACTCGTACAAGTATAAAAAGAAAAAACCATGAGTGTGCTAGCTTTGTAATACTATCGACCACTGCGATATTCTAACATGGTATTATTATTATTGTTTTGGTTTTCTTTAAGTAACATTTTTAGAATTATGTTGGGTTTTATATGATAGACATCTTCTTAACATTACCATTTGTGCAATATTCAAAAAACACTTTTTGTCTAAAAGATATTTTGCCACCAATTTTTTCAAATAATTTGGACACTCCCCACTTGACGAATGACTCACTAATATTGAGTAAGTACGACCACACAGTCACTATTATGTTTATCTATAAAATAAACTTTCAGTAATCCTAAATTGATCTTCTGTAACTCAAATAAATTTAAAATAATGAAAATATGTTTTACTATTGTAAATATGGGTAATAATGTTTTTGTTTATAATTAAAAGATATCACAATTGGAAGTCATTAAGTAGCCAGTTAACCAATTTATTGAAGTACATTGCTTGAATAGGATAAACATAAAAATAATCTTCAATAAAGATTTAAGCCATCGGAATATTTTGCAGTTGCCATCACACTTACTAAACAGTAAACTTAACTAAACTTATTTGATTTGATGATGATTTTATTTGGTGAACATAGTAAGAATACAAAAAACATGTACATTGCAACTCAATAAAACTACAGTATATCTACTAAAAAGTAAAAACATTATACTTCAACAAAGATCCAAACATCAACAAAATACCTGTATTAAGCCTTAAACAATTTCCATGTCATGTAACTTCTTTGTTTCATGCTATATGTATATTCCTGTGTCTACGTAAACTTATTGTACTTAATGATGACAAAACATTCTCCAAACATTGTACATTTGTTACTGTGTTAAACTTTTAATATATTTTCTTTGTTACTCATTTAACCTGTCCCTAAACTGTACAAGCTTACCTTATCCCAAGTTATCTGGTGTCATCTCATTGAAGAAAATTTCTGTAGCTTTCAAACAGCTTTTCAAATAATACCACAATTCACAAATAAAAAGAACTGAAAGGAACATTTACAGAAATTTAAAAAATATCATAAACTTGTATATTTCTCTATTTTATGATAGTTTAATTTATGCTCTATCCAATCATATTTGAACTTTCTTTATAAGTTTTTACAAAGCTGTGTTTCATTAGTAAATGATCAAACAGTTTGACATAGCACCAAAACAAGGTTTCAACCAAGCCACGTATAAAAATTAAGGGAAATGCTTGAATATCAAGAAATGGGTAATATATTCTAAAGGGGTGATAGATTCTTAGCAAAAATCATTATTCTTTTGGATGGGCTGAAATAAATTAACATGTGTGCTGTTTTGTTAACAGGCAAAACTATGCATATTTGCAGAAATGAAAACATGAACTTTTTATTTTTCTTCATGAATTACACTAAATTCATGTCAGAAAATTGCTGAAACATAATTAGAATTAACATATACAATTTACTTTAAAATTTGTCTGAAAAAGTGTTATCAAGTAGTAATAAGATATGAAAAGCCAGAGGTCATCCAATCTTCAGACTTCAGGCAGAATAAGATATGGTAAATTTATTTTGTAAACCAAAAATTTGTACGTGAAAATGTGTCATACATGTAACACAACTGAACTGTTTAGTATTTAGAAACAAAAGATAGCTTTATTCACTTAACTGTCACCTATTGCAACAATATTGTCTAAAGTTATTGTCTAGACTTATAATATTTATGGAGTTTTTAAATTCTAAGTCCTTTGTAGCTTTGGGCCTGGCATGGCCAGGTGGTTAGGGTGTTCGACTCGCAAGCTGAGGGTCGTGGGTTCGAATCCCCGTCACACCAAACATGCTTGCTCTTTCAGTCATGGGGGCATTATAATTTGACGGTCAATCCCACTATTTGTTGGTAAAAGAGTAGCCCAAGAGTTGGCTGTGGGTGATGATGACTAGCTGCCTTCCCTCTAGTCTTACACTGCTAAATTAGGGATGGCTGGTGCAGATAGCCCTCATGTAGCTTTGCACGAAATTCAAAAGAAACAAACAATCCTTTGTAGCTCAACATTTAGTAGCCTCAATTAATTTAGGTATTTGAATAATAATGGAGCATTTCCCCAAATTCATTATTCAGTATTGTACAGTGTACCAACTTTTTTGTGATGGGATTAAAGATTTCTCTAGGTTAGTAAATCACGTATTAAAAATAACTTAAAAAATCCATAAATATTACATACACATGACCATTATAAGAGAACTTACTGTATTTCTTTATTTTTCTGACCCAAGCTGTGCTGATGAGTTTTGAATAGGTGTACCTGCAGCTCATAGCAGAGGGTATGGCAAATCAAAGAATATTATAGGCCTCTACATCACAGATTATATTTTCAATTTTACCTTTAATGAATATAAAATTAATATCATTATTTTACAGACTTGTTATTTCAATCAATTCAGTATTGTTTTCATGTTTATAAGCATGTTTATGATAGGGCATTAATAGTTTAGAGTTTAAAAATTAGCCAAGTGTCAAACATTTTATATTTTGCTTAATTTATTAAGGAATTAAAGTTTGCAATATTAAGAAAGTAATGGCTACACAGAGATTCTTCCATTGTTTTCTTTCTACTTTTGTCTCATGGCAAATGGAGAGATTCATGTTTCGACATACCCTTCCATTTATAAAAATATGTTATTTTGCCACTCAGTTTTGAAAAAATTCCCTTTATTTCTATAATTATTAATATTACTAATAAGTTATATGTTTAACAAATATATATTACTACCAAACAGAATATTAGATTTTGACAGGCAACAAGGTACTTGAAATTATGAATATATTATATCTATCTATCTATAAAATAAGTAAATCATTATTTATTTTATACTTGAACACATTTTTCAAGAGAAAGAGAGGAGAAGTAATTATTACAAACTAGTAAGGCATGGTTGTTAGTTCTTTTTAAGATCACTTTGAAATAATTATTAAAGAGGGAGTCTTATAAATGTAGAAATATAGGGTGGTTACTTCTACTACAAGGTTATTGTTATGTCTTAATATTAATGGTGACTCCCTTCCCACAACTGGCTGCAGACAGTGAAAGGCAATAGGAGTTGAGGTGCTGTGGGTTCAAGCACTCAACTCCTAACCATTAACTGTTTCTCCATAACTGCTGACATGTTTTATGTGTGCATTTGGATCTTGTGTGATAGCTAGAATATCCCCACTGCACTTAAAAGCTATGACCACAGACATTGTACACTATAAGTTAATGAATGACAAGGATTGGTAATGGAAAAAAGAATTAATGGTCTTTTTAGTCTTGTTGCGAATGCTTTTTATTTGTGTGTGTGTGTATATGTATATATATAATTAACTAAACAAAAAAATGCCAAAAACAATTGTTGGGTTTTCTAAATATAGCAATTAGTGTCAGAAATTATAGTTTAATCACTTAGTTAGAACTGTTCTTTTGACAACATCAGCAGTGTAGAGATATATAAATTGATTTGAAACTTACCAGGCTACAGCAATGTGGTCTTTGCGAGTTGAAATAAGCAAAGTCCTGTTTACGTACGTTTGGATATGAAGAGCAACAGAGAAGTACAATGTTTACTGTGCTCTACAGAGCATAGTTACAGGGAAAATGTGGAAGCAATGTTAAAACATATCAAAATGAAGCATTCTGCTGGATCTAGTGTGGAGGACAGAGGACTCGGACAAATAATTATGCAATAATATGCTAATACATAATTAATACATAAATACAGTTTACATAATATTTATCAGAAATGTTTGGCTTATTGGTTTCTAATATTTCACCAGTTTTTAAACATATTAAAATATGCACTAGCATATTATATCTGTAATAATGTGATTGATGTTTACCTGTCTGACCAAAACTGGCCATTATTGTATCCCAGATGCAATTCTTTTTTGTGTCACTTCACTATTTTTGTATATTTATATATAATTTACTGAAATATGTGGGATTTTATACATATATAAAAATCTGTTTGTACAAGAAAATAATAACATTTTATCCATGTTTCTGTTTAAAATTGATATAATTAAGTGTTGTATCTATAACTATGCAATTGCTCAAATGCTTTGTAATCGATGAACGAAAATGAATAATCATAACGTATTTATTAGGCAAATGAGTACTTAGCCAAAGTAAAAACCTTGTACATTTTGATATTTTTCAAGTAGCCTAAATCTAAAATCAAATGAATAAGAATAAAATTAGAAATTATATGCAGATAATATAGTGTTTAACTTCAATATACTAGCTGAATTAATGTTTCATTTTTACAATGGTATGATACCAAAATAAGTCAAAGTAACATGAATTTACTCGGTAAATGATTAGCTACACTCCAACAATTTCAAAGTTTATATCTATTTCTAAATATGTGATTGATATGAAAATAAAAATGGTTAACAACAAACATTTCAAGTTTTTAATTAAGATTAATTAGTTGTAATTATTTATAATCATATTTAAAAAGAAAATCTGGAACACTGGCAAACAGGATGCTTGTTTTCAAACTATTTTTATAAAGTTGTTACAGTCATACCACTTGTGTATTCACTTATTTTCTCATGGGAATTGTAACTTTTATATGATGAAAAATTGATTCTATAGCAAGTCTATGATATAAGAGCTACAAATGTCCTAAACAATACTAACTTTGATGAAACCAAATCTGTAAAGCCTAGACACATTGATAGTGTGCCTGGAAAAAAAAAGGCAAGGCATGAAAATCTAATTGACATTCGTATTGTTATACTAACTTAGATAAAATAAATTATTGGCTGAGGCATTAAATGGATTGCAGTTGATTGCAGCTGTGTTGATTTCAGGACACCTCAAAACATTTTATGGTAATTAATAACAATCCTTCTAAAATACTGACATCTAATGTTTCTTTTTCATGCACTATGATAGTGTAAGGGTAAATGGCTGCTTTTATAAGTTTCTGAAAGAAAAGAAAATGGAGGAGGGGGGGCTTGAGCCCCCCGACATCTGTGCCTAGTCGTACAACATTAAATGAATAGTTGTTAATTTCTAAAACAAAATGGGTGAGGCAGGTTTGGCTTCCTTGAACACCTTTTTTAGATCCACATCCACTTATGCAACATTAAGAAATACAGTTATGTAATTATAAATTAGAAACATAAAACAGTGTAAAAGAAACAGTGAATCTGCACTTTATTGAATACTTAAGTAGCCAGAGATCTGATGATGGATGCTGCCAGCTAGTTGTCAAAGATCACTTTAGTCAACAGTTCAAAATTAGTGGCAGATAGCCTTAGTAGCTTTAAAAGAACAAAGCAGGGTGAGCAAGTTTAGTGCCAATGGGAATTGAACCAGAGATATTCAAATCATAACATAATGATAATATTTTGCTTACTTGAAGAGTTTAAATAATTTAAAACAGTAATAATCAGAGTAAATAGTTTTGATTAGTTGATTATTTTCATGAAAGTTGATTTAATTATAATTTTGATTAATCGATTGTTGAAATAATTGAAAAGAGTAATAACCGTAAACATTAATTTTGATTAGTTAATTATTTTTGTGACATTAATCAAGTAGTTTACAAGACTAATAGTGTAATCAATGCTCATAGATAATTGAAGAAGAGCCTTCCCATTCATTGAAGATGCTTTTTATATTCTTTTATTTTTCGTTGTTTCTTCATTTTTGGTAGTAGTCACTTGAAGACATCTTGAAATTTGATGAAATCTATCATGTGTCATTACATGTGGAAAAATAGTTTCCAGTTGTTCTGATTCCAAAGATATTTAGTTGTGTTGTTGTTGAATTTAAACACCAGCTAGCACCAGTACACTGAAGAAACGTTGCAATCATTAGAATCTAGATGATTCCATCTTTATATCAATATACATTGTTCTTCCTTCTTTGTTCATTTCAGTATTTCCTTTGTAATGCTCTTCTTTAAGAAGAGATTGAATGCAGCTGATGCTGTGTCAGTATTTCCTCATACATATCTAGTTGGACCTGATCTGTCTTTGCAAACATTTGCTGATAACGATCTCCCAGTTGGCTGATACCTTGATGTAAACCACTCCACATTATTTTTTGGCAAATTCACTTTCAGCTCTTCATCAGTGTAAACATAACTTTTTAGCTATCAGTATTCAACTAAGTTTATAGTAAATTAGTATTTTTATCAACAGATAAGTGATCTTCAGTTTTAACTATTTCATGTCTTTCTAGTCATCACTAGATTCTGTCATTTTCATAATTGTCAATGTTATTTTTATACATACTGTTGGCTCTGGAATTAACTTTGTATATTCCTATAAAAGATGACACAGCATGTTGCATGACATTAAGTAATTTTTGTCTCTTATGAAACATTGAGTTAAATCACTTTTTCATTGTAAATACATAGATGTTCAGTGTTATTGTGGTAGTTGAAATTTTATATGTACTTTTTGTTTGAATCCTTTTATTTGATTAGTATGTTATTAGGGATCCTGTAACCAAGAAAGTCATTGGATCAAAAGCAATTTAATGTATGAATAATTTAAAGCAATGTGTTTAAAAAGAAAACTGGAACCTTAGTCAATTCTACAATTAAATACTTTTGAAAAATCTAATCTTTGTATAGGTAAACATTAAAAATTTTGAGAAATTTGGTTTTTCTGTAGGTCAGCCAGTGTCACAGGATGTTTACCGAAGACTGAAGGTATTAGAAGATAAAATTTTGTTCTTAGAAGGTCTGTCTCCAAGTTACATGAGTGTGGTAAGAGGAATATTTATTCTAATCCTTTACTAAACTTTTCATTGTCAACTTTTTAATATTCTCTGACAAACAGAGTACACTTGAAGTACACTTTAATTGTAAGTATTTTTAACATAAATTGTACTTATTTTTACTAAAGTATTAAATTTTTAACCTTATATTTTGCTGCTTTTTTATTTGTCTTACAAATTATGAATTTAATTATATGAACAATGTAATGTTTTGTAATTGTCTATTGGACAACACTGATAACATATTCACATTAATGTACCTTTATAAATTCCACAGCTTGTATAATACTGTTTCATTCTCTCCCAAAATACTTTCTAAATATTAATCTAATGTGATAACTGTTACAGTACAGTGGACAGAAGTTGTGTTAATTATCAGCATATATTAAATTGTTTCTTTTAACTTATGGAATCTGTGCTAAGGTTAATTTAAATTTGTTTTATTTTTTCACTGCTTGCTAGGTTCCATCAGTACACAGTGAGGGAAACTCCAAAAATAAAACTGAAGTGGAAAGAAAGTATGAAGTAGGTAAAATTACACTGTAATTAATTTGTTTTCAAGCAGTAGTAAAACAAATGTTATATTCATATATATACAAGTTTTGTGTTCATGTGAAATACATTCATAACAGACGACATTTGACTCTTGCTAGAATTACTTTACATTTATTTTATTTGGCAGATGTTACATGTGTTTGATGTAACTGATGTCATTGATAATTGTAAATACCTGAGTACAGTCTGAGAGGAAACGTCATTGTAAGTTGTGTTTCTGGCAGTACATGAAGCATGCATTTTTGAAAACTTTTGTTTAATTTATAGGATATGTTTTTATTAAAGTTTGTTATTTAATATTTATTGTTTTTAACCACAAATCTGATCATTTACACTTTATGGTGTAGGAATGATTTGGATTGCAATATGGTTTGCAGCAATTTCAGAATTACCAAACTATAACTAATTTTCTTTGTATTATGGTTTAATTCTTTTTATTATTATTTCTTTTATCTCTTGTTTAACAATTCTTTAAGAGCCAATGTACTTACTACAAGTTGCGTATTCTATGTTTAAGAAAAATAAATGTAATATCTTCAAAGGTAAAAAGAATATAATAAAGTGAAATTTCTGTCAAAATATAATCTAAATAGTTAAGTTTAATTTACAAGATAAAAACAAAAATATCATCTACTTCTTTGACAGACAATATTTTCAACATATAACAACCAGACTAAAGAAATTATGAGTTAGAAAGGTCCACTGATTGTCTATGGAAAAATGTAGCACGTATGTGATATGGCTGCTTCAAAAACTGTAACTGTAGTATTTTGAACTTTTAATTCTACCATATGATCTGTGTTAACAATTTTTATGCTTAGAATATATGTATATATATATATTTAATTTTAAAATATTGTACAGTTTTCTCAAGCTAAGCTATACACATAAAAATTTTCATGTGTTATTTTTACTGTTTTAAAAAATAAAGGTGTTTATAAAACATAAAAAACATAATAATATTCCTAACACCTACTGATGTCTTAAAAAAAAAGGAGTATGTTTTGTATATATATTTAGTGGTTATGAAGATGTCACATTGAAAGTGTGTATGCTTTACAAAAATTTAGTAATTTTGTCACTTTACTACACATGTAAATATATTGCAGTGATTATGATATTGTTATTTTGGTCGGTGATTGCGGAATATTTGGAGTTATCGTATTAATCTAGCAGAGTTCTAAAGACTCGATATTCAAGTATTGTTTTCCAAACCACTATCCCTCTTTTTTTTTTCTTATTCTTCAACTCCTGAGGGCAAAATGACACCATTTTGATTTTGGGTTGATTTCAGTAAGCTCCTAACGAATCATTGGTGTTTGTGTATTTCTTGAATTTTTCCTGAGTGTGATATGACACTCATAGATTCCTAGAAGGAAACTCATAATAGTTTTCAAGGAAACAGCATTAATTATTCCTTGTAACTTTATTAAAAGTATAGTTTTATTGATTTTGACCAGTTCTCGTTTCTCAACCTCAATTGTCATTGTGTGAGGAAATTATCTCAGAAGCTTTAGGCTACTGACCTAAACACATCATGAAAGCTTCCTTTCTGATCTTTTCAACTGTAAAAGTCAAAGAGACTCATTTCAGCAGAGATTTGCATGGAAGTAATAACAAAATGATTTAAGCTTAGCTTGGTGATATGTTACTAGGAGAAATGGTGCTTGCAAACAACTTCCACTACAAGTACAGTCCTTTCTTTTTTTTTCTTTTTTTTTAAAGCTCACAAAAAGCATGCTTTATCATTTTGTACTTCACATAAATTATGGTGTTGAAAGGAAATATTTTTGTAGAAAAAGATGAGGTATGTTTAGTTAAATCATTTTGCACTTGACCATATCAGGTTTTGTTTTTCCATCTTGGCCTAAGTAACTGCTTGAATGGGCAAAGAAAATCACCAAAAATAAAAGTACAAATATTGAAATTAATACAAAACTGGTTTAAAATTTATAACATATATTAGATGAAACCATCTGATTCACAATTTTTTTAAAAATGTCAGCTTGTTTATAATTTTGGTATGGTAAAAAAGTTACTTATAATGTATACAAGTGATTATAAATACAGTGAAACAGTGTGTGCTGTTTTTTGAGTCAAAACAAAGCTAAAATTTACAGCTTTATAAAAATAAAAACTATAGGAAAGTATAAAAATCAGTAATTAAAATCTACAACAAAGGTAAGCATTTTTTAATTGTTTCTTAAAAAATTTACCATAATGAAATCGTTGCAAAATTTCAAAGCTGTGAATTCATAAAAAATACCTTATATGAAAATAAGATATTTGCAGAAGTTAAATGATCTGTATGAAGTAATTATACAGCTTCAACCCTATTTTATGCAGAAAAACAAATCATATAACAGGTGTGTTGAATTGATGCACAGGGTCTCATAGAGTTAATGTACTTTTAAAATAGTTTTGGAAAATTAATATTGTATCCTGTTAAAATGACATAACAAAGATGCAAGTCTTTAATTTTTAGTTAAAAGTTCACATATCTGTGAAACTTTTAATTTAAAAAATCTCCACTTTTCATAATTTTAGGTGAGTAAATTAAAAAAATATTGTCTTTATTTGTAATAGTAAAGCTTTATTTGTTATATTTGATTTCTAAAGGTTTGTTTCTGTAAACTTATAATGTTAAAACCTGGGTTTCAATTCCTCATAGTGCACAGATAAGGCCATTGTGTAACTTTGTGTTAATCAAAATGTTCCCATAAACCTATGAATTGTCCAGTGTGGTGAACACATTTTAAGTATAATTTGGACATTTTTTTGGTACAGAAAATAGTAAATTCTTTTTTCCCCAAATAAAATTATATTGATCTAAGTTTCTGTTTAAATATATCAATTTATATATAAATGAAGTGACAAGAGGTTTCAGTTATTAATTTGTATTTTTGTACTGCTAGAAACATTTATAAAATGTTAAACATAAAAATGCAACATCACATATATAACGTAATTATCAGTTTTAATGAAAATATAAACACTCGTATTTTGGACAGGAAATACTTATAAGAAAATGGAAAAAAAGCTATGATAGGGATAAATTGTGAAATTCTAAGAGATAATTTTTGCTCTTTTAAAAAATTGAGACCACTAAGTTTTCTCTCTCAGATATAAAAATAACAAATATTTGCTCCTTCAGAGATGTATGAATGATATTTTGGGCCAAGATTTAAAATAAATGTATGAATAAATCAGTAAAGAAAAATACACACACACATGTATTGCTACATTAATTAATAATTTATTGATTTCTACAATTCTTACGTCCTTTTCACATTTTAATACTCCAAAGATAGTGTGTCAAAACTGGTTGGCAGTATCATTTACACCATTGATTAATCCATCATGGATTAGCAGTTTACTACTGTTCAATGAAAGAATATGATAGTTTAATGATGGTTTATGTGAAACTGTTATGTTTATTGTAGGTGAAGAAAGAATGTGAGAATCACTCTTTATCTTTATTGTTGTATAGTTTTAATCTGAAGCTCCGATAGTGTTATAATATTGCCTTTCCTGTTAGTTTTGAAGATTAAAATGAGTTTAATAACTCTAAGTTTAAACTTTTTGTAGCATTATAATACTATGAAAATGTGATACCAGGTTGTTATTTTTTCCAACAAATGACATCATTAAGTACATTTAGTTCATTTTATAAGTAAATTTAATATAGTGCTTTCATATGGTTATGTTGTTGCTTATGTAGAACTGGAAGATGTCAGATATAGAAAAAAGGATATTCATTTTACAAGAAACTCTGAGAAGGAAGACTGAGAAGTAATATACGTCTTAAGGTAAAATGTACATTCCTGAAAAAGATATTAAAAATTTACTTCTCAGATATGATAATTTAAAATGATAAGTAAGAGCTGTGAACTGAGTGTGAAAAGAAACATCTTGAAGGAGAGCCTAAGAAATGTATGATGATAAGTTACTGAGAAGTATACATTCTGAATATGGACTGAGAAGTATACATTCTGAATATGGACTGAGAAGTTTACATTTTGAATACTTTCAGAGTAGTACTTACACTCTAATAATAGACTGAAAAAATTATGAACACAGGCTGAGAAGAAAGCTGAGAAATACCTGTTCTGGGCAGTGACTGAAATATGTAGATCCTGAAGTTGTTATGCTGAGGAATATGCATGCTCAAAACAGACTGTAAAGTGTACATTGTGATACAGAAAGTATGAGAATCTTACATCATTGTGAATTTAGCTAGAGAAGTGTTTTTTATGTGTTTGTTGTATTTCCCAAAATCTCATTAGGTACCTCTGAACATTTTTGAGTTTTATTGTTTTATTAAACTGAGTATTGTTCTGTTAGCTTTATTTGATGAAATTGCTACAAAAAAAAAGTTTTGTCAAATGACCTAATAAAGGCTAATTGACCTAAATGTTGACCAATTTTTCCTTCAGTGATTTTAATAATTTTTTGATTTTCATATTTACTTTGTAGATGAGTTGCTATTTGTGTTGCTTGTTAGTCTTACTTATTGTGTGATATAAAATGTGAAACCCAATGTGCTGGTAAAAACACATCTAGTTTTGATTTTTTTGTGTTGAAGGCTTCAGCTGGTGTATTGAATAAAAATCTTTTTATGTCAATTTTCATAGTATGAGTAACAAAATACACCTTCATTGTAATTTGGTGTTTTTGTTAACATGTCCTTAACATACAATATAGGGGATTATACATAATTATAATTGAATATAGCATTACTAAGTATATTTAAGTTCTAAGAATATTAATTTTTTCATAATAGTTGTTTAACCACAAAGCACATCCTGCACAAAAGCTTATTAAAAGTGAATGAAGTCTTCTAAGTTCTTTCAGATTAACTTAAATTTTTCTATATTGTCTTATGGCTTTGATTTCTATGCAAGTAGATTTGATTTAGGTACATCAATATAGCCATATGCATATGAAGCTGATACCTTTTGCTTAAAATTTATAGGAAGCAAAAACCTTCCAGGAGTACATGTTAGTCTACTATCTTGAGTTGTTAAGAAAAATTATCTTCTTGACTAAAAAGCAGAAGAAATCTAGCTAAAAAAGCTCTTCTAAACAAAGGTGAACATGACGTAAAGAAGCTTTTCAACAGTTATTGTAATTATGTTTATTTTCTCTCATATATTAGCCAATATGTATTTAGTTTTTATGATTATTAACCCATTGATTGCGGCTGCTCTAAACACGTGTGGAAATTTTGCAAGCCGTACACTACATACTCCACACTTGCATTCAACTGCCAGAGGTGGACTGTATCCTATACGATGAATTAGCAGTAAATGGGTTACAGAACATGATAACAAAAACTTTCAACTCTCCTCTATGCACATTATATTATAAAAAACATTTGTACAGTACACCCCAGTTAGTAATGGTCTCATTACCAATGAATTTGCAAGTTAACGATATGGTGCAATGTTGAGTAGGGTCTATAAATTTTAAAAGGTGCCAGAATGCAGCCAGATCCAGCTAGTTGAAGTCAAATCTCAAACTTTCAAGGAGGTGAACACTTATTGGATTCATCATTTGTGACATGAGTATCAAGATATTTTAGCAAACCTAATTGTACCAAAGTCTACTGTATAATGTATTGGATAAATTAAAGACCATTGGTCATGCTAGTGTGGCATATCAACCTAACTGCTTGAAATTAATCACTCTCCAGTTCATACAAACTGTGAAATGTTTGTAAATAAGACCATGAACTTGGCATTACGTCTATCATGCAGGACTTTAATGAGAGTTTTAAGACTAGGCTCTTATGGAATCATGGTGTTTTAACAGCAACGTTACAATAAAACACATTGCAAAACCTACATGTGGAATAATGGCTGGAGACGGCTTAAATGGGTAATGAAGAAAAACTTTAATATAAGTTTAACATGACAGCAAATGTACAACGTTTCGACAAGGTTTTGTCATCAT